TCCATTCCATTCCATTCCATTCCATTCCATTCCATTCCATTCCATTCTATTCTATTCTATTCTATTCTATTCTATTCTATTCTATTCTATTCTATTCGGGAGCCCTGCTCTCACATGTGGCATGCTGTCATTTCAGAGGCAGGTGTGTGTCTTACCTTACCAGCAAGATCAGAACTCACCAGGAGTAGGGATCCCCTTCCGTGGGGCCGGGGAAGTCAGCACACTCAGGACGGTCATCGCACCCACGGTGCTCAGCGCTGGACTGGGCTCTTTCGGCTCTTTCGGCTCTTTCGGCTCTTTCGGCTCTTTCGGCTCTTTCGGCTCTTTCTGTTCCTTCAGGTCCTTGTCATTGCTTGTGGATTTTGCCAGATCCCTCACCTTGGACCACTTCTTCCACAGCACACTTCCGGCTGCAGCTGGCGGCAGTTCTTTGGTCTCTTCTTTGGCATCTTTCCCAGTACCTCCTGCTAGCTCTCCTATAGCACAATGTATATGTCCCTGAAAAAAATAACTTGCACTCTGCTAAGTCACATGCAAACAAATCTACATGTTTGTAGGAGCCCAGATTTGGAGGACATGCTTCCAAAGTTCTGCAGCGTCTAACCAGGGCCCGGATACCCTGCAGCATCTAGGATGTCAAAGTGTGTTGTGGCTAGTGTAAACACATGTATGAGGTGTGCCTGGAAGCTGTCTCAGGATATGAAGGCCACACACAATCAGAGGCTTCAAGAAACTGGGGCAATATTGACAGAAGGGAGCTCTTCAAGTATTGGGACCACTGTATATAAGCAAGGTACTTCTCTTTGGGAAGGGACTAGTGAGTCAATAGTTATTTAAATTGTCTTAAAATACAACTGAAAAGGCTTCTTACTTGTGAAGATCCTAAAGCTGAAAGAATTTTCATTAGCAGAGCTTCCAGTAGTAAATCCTTGATCATGAAGAAATCATAAAAACCAACCCCAACTTTCACACTAGCCATGCATTATTTTCCTATTTATTCATCCCTTGTAGGTGATCTATTTTGCATTATATTCTGATATGAATGAAATACAGGATTTGGGCAGTGAATTGCTTCTGCCTCCAGTGGTACTTAGACATAGTCAAGTATGACGACATCTATGACAAGACAATAGATCAAAGGAAGGCCAGATCTGCATGCTTTCTGGGTCTCTTACTTCTTAAAACTTAACAATACTACTGAGACTCTTCCCCACCTTGGATATCAGAATATACATCAATGGGTTGGAATATAATAAAATTTGTCCTCTATACCTCTGGATTCTACACCCATGGATTCAGTCAACCAACCATTGATCAGGAATTTGTTAAGGCAGGGCTGGAGAGATGGCACAGCGTTTAAGAGCACTGAATGCTCTTCTAGAGAACCCAGATTTGATTCCCAGCACCTATATGACAACTGTCTATAACTCTAGTTTTAGGAGAGCTGATGGTGTCTTCTGGCTTCCTTGAACACCACACACACATATGATGCATAAACATACATGCAGGAAAAAACACACATATATGTAACATAAAATTAATTAATTGATACAACATTTTAAACACCTATGGTTAAAAAATGACAAAATGCCCAGGGAGGTAAAGTAATGCTTGCTGTGTAAGCCTAGTGATCCGAGTTCAACTCCTGGAAGCCGTGTAAAGGAGAAAACTGACTCTACAAAGTTGTCTGTACTCTGTATGTGTAGTGTGGCTACATCCAAACAACATGCACATACACATAGTATAAGAAATACTAAATAATTTGAAATGTACTGTTTAAAATTTTATGCTGTTATTTACTACATAATTTTGTTAGTTTTATTTGTATTGAACATATATACTTGTTTGCCTTTATATTCTCTAAATGATACAGTGTAACAATTACTTAGAAAGCACTTAGATTGAATTATGATTATATAAAATATGAGGAAAATTCAAAGCATGCAGGAGAATGTGCCCAGGTTATATGTGAAAACATCTCCATTTCCTAGAAGGGTGTTGAACACCTGTGCACTTTGGCACATGCTGTAGGCCTTGAAAGCAATCATCTTTGGATACTAGAGTCAACTATAATTTAAATAGTGCAAGTTGCCAACCATGGCAATAATTCCATTTAAGTAGTTAGCTTTATTATGACTATACTTATTTTTATTCTTATTCTTAAGAAAGTGCCAGATTATTAAGTAGTAGGCCTGCTTCCAATTCCACATGGCTACCATCACACTGAGTAAGAACCTTATTTCATCTCTGATTTCATCAACTAATCTTTTTTCTTTTAAAAACAGGGTCTGGCCTTGAATTCACTATATAGCTGAGAATGGACATGAACTAATCCTTCTGCCTCTACCTCCCAAATGTCAGGATTACAGATGTGTGCCACCACTTTATATTCTTCAACTTGTCTTAAGTAAGGAAAACCACTTTTGCCAATGTGTGGAGAATGGGCTTGAGAATCTTAGATGGGAAAATAAGTGGCTTGATAATTAAAGGGCTATTCATGTCCTGATTTGAAACCGTTTGGTTTTTCCCAATCCTGAGGACTAGAAACTCTAAAATGATTCCTTGTGACTTAAAGAGGGCCCCACTGAATGCCTGCGCAGCTTGTGGCCTCCACTGACCTTCTTCTGAGGATTTAGTTTGGCTCTGAATAGAAGGCAAAGTCTCAGAGGCCATGACAGGGACAGAACCGGGAACTGGACCGGACGCCGGAACGGGGGCGGAAGCAGGAACGGGAACAGGAACGGAGGTGTCACTTGTCTTCTTAAAGTATTTGTTGAGGTACTTCAAACGTGCCTGAGAAGCCTAGAAGACAGATATCAGCCCTGTGAGCATTTGAAAAGCAGCAAGCAGCGCAGGCCGAAGCAATGTGATGGTACTCAGGAGAAGGGAGAAATATGGGTTCCAAAAAACAAACAAACAAAAAAATAAAGAAAAAGAAAAGAAAAAAAGAAAGAAAGAAAAAGAAAGCGCGAATAAGGTAGTTTAGACAGGCCATCTCCTCATTGACTAAAGTGCTCAGCTCCCAATGCAAGGATTCTCAACGTGTGGGTCGCAACCTCTTTGACAACCCTGTACAAAAATATTTATATCATGATTCATAACAATAGCAAAATTACAGTTCTGAAGTAGCAATGAAAATAATATGATTGGGGTGTCATCACAGCCTAAGGAACCATTACAGAAGGTTAAAAACCTGAGCTGTAAGAGAATGGAAGGACAGGTATTTAAATTCCACAAGGGGGCAGCACATCCTTTTTATTCTAAAGCTGTTTGTAGTAGGGAAGCATACGTTAAATGTTTGCATTCTCCTCTTTTTAGGAGACATGAATCCAGCCCTCATGGCTACGTATAAAAGGCAGGGGGGGGGGCACAACTTGGACATATGAGGGATACCTCATGTCAGAATTCAGTTAGTCAGTAGCTAATATAATTCCAAGTCCCTAAAGGAACCCTGTGCAGCTTCACCACAGGGCTCATCTCTCAGACTACATCTAACAATGAGGAAAGAGAAAGAACAGCCTTTCAGGCAGGTAACCTTGATAGCCCTCCCTGGCTCAGTTGTCTCCCAAGCTTGCTTCATGGCTCGTATTTCATCTGCTCGTTCTGTGTCTTTTTTCACGTCAACATAGTCTGACTCGCTGTGTTCAGAGACCAGCCTCAAAATCCAGTAGGGTTTGTTTGGATCATCTTGCTGAGGGTGAATGGTGGGTACTTGCTAGGAAACAAAAAGGTTAAAAATATGAATGCTTTCCTCTCCTAGGAAGGTTCTAGGATTCACTCCCTAATCAGGGATTCCAGTTAGGTACTTAGCATAGAGAAATCAGACCATAATTTGCTAAGACTTGCGTAAGAATGCTCATTTTATTCTTTTTACAGCAGCAGATGAAGTGAACAGCATAAAAGTGTATCAGGGTGGTGAACAGACAACCTATAGCACATCCTATGTTGGATGCTGAGCATTGACTAAAAATAAACATCTGCTGTATCCCTCCATGTGGAAGAATCCTACAGGCCCATATGGTAGTAAGAGAAGCTGAGCACAAACAAATTCAACGTGTGGAGGCATCTGCATGAATTCTGTGACAGGTGAAAGTAGCATGATGACTGAAAGCTGATGTGCTCATACCAGGAGCTTTGGTGCAGGGTGGCAAAGTGAACACCAACGGGTACATGGACATAATCTCTACTCTTTACCTTGAGCTACATGGTGGATGTACTTGTTGGGAGTCAAGAATTGCACAGTTATGAGTGTTGCCTATGGAGCTGGAGCTATGTATCAGTAGATAAAACATACTTGCTTTGAAAGGGTGAGGGCAAGAGTTCAGAACCCAGGAGGTCCAGTGCTGACTGCACAGCAGCCCATCTGGAACTCCTGTGCTCAGAAGGTAAAGATGGGATCCCTCAGAGCAAGCTGGCTGGCTAAGCTGGCCTCAGCAAACAGCTCTGGATTCAGCTGAGGAGTCTTGCTTCAATGAATATAGTGAGAAGTGATTGAGGAAGACTTCCAACATCAATCCTGGGCCTTTACTCACACACACGCACAGACACACATTCTTATATATGATACTCACATGAGAAAAAAGAAAAACAAGTGTATATGCCCATCACTTTATGCAGTATTGACTTTAAAATACACACAATAAAGTCTAAATTGGGCTGATGGGTGCTGTAGTTTGTTTTCTGTTGATGTGATAGATGCTGTGACCAAAAGCAATTTGGAAATATAAAGGGTTTATTTCAATTTATACTTTGAGGCCCATCCCTGGGAGAAGATCAGGACAGAAGCTCAAGCATAAACTGATGCAAACAACATGGAAGAAGGCTGCTTATTGGCTAATTCACTGGCTCATGCTCAGCTAGCTTTCTTATATATTCCAGACTCACCTGCATAGGGATGGTGCCACCTGCAGTGGGCTGGACCCTCCATCAATCATCAAAGAAAATGATTTCTTACAGACATGGCCACAAGCCAATCTGATACAGGCAATTTTTCAACTGATTTCCTATAGGCTGTGTCAGCTTAAAAATAGAAACTAGCCAGTGAAGTAGGTAAGGGTGCTTGCTGCCAAACCTGATAGTCTCCCATAGTTTGTCCTTTGGCCTTCAAATGCACCTGTGAGTATGTGTGTGTACTCACACACAATGTTAAAAATTTTTTAAATAAAGTCTAAATTATACTTATGGCCACTCATGATGTCTTCCTAAAACTGAGCAAGATAATCAACTAAATCTAGCCCTGAATGTACTTGTTACAGACTCACTCTGAATGTAAGTGGTACTTTAAGATTTATAGAACTACTTGCAAGAACAAAAGAAGTGGGATTTAGATTTTACATATGAGAGGTAATTCCTGGACAGTCAGAGAGGAAGAGAGACCCTTGTTCTCCAAATAGACTTTCTGCCAATTTCTCTCTCAAGTTTCCATTTAATATGCTATTGTGAATGCTTTTTCTGTTGCTATGATATGGCCAGAAGCAACTTGGAAAAGAAAGGGGTTTTATGGTTAACTAACTTTGAGTCATGAGGTTGTAGAACTGGGATCTTCTAGGACCCCACCAGGCAAGTTAAATGTTAAAAAGTGGTGTGATTGAAGAATACATCTCAGAAGAGCAAGACTATGTCCATCTGAAATAATGTAATCAGGGAAGAGAAGTTTGCAGCCATTGAATACAGTTTTCATTTAATATAGGATAATCATGCTAAACTCTGTGCACCTAAAGAAGCTAAGCAAGAAGAAGGACTCTGGGTAAGATGGTCAATCTTCATTCAGAAAGGCAAATGGGATGGACATTGGAAGAAGGTGAAAATAAGGAATAAGACAAGAACCTACCACAGAGGGCCTCTGAAAGACTCTACTCAGCGGATGCTGAGACTCATAGCCAAACTTTGGGCAGAGTGCAAGGAATCTTATGAAAGAAGGGGGAGATAAAAAGACCTGGAATGGTCTGGAGCATCCCAAGGAGACCAACAGACCAAAACATCTGGGCCTAGGGGTTTTTTCTGAGACTGATACTCCAACCAAGGAGCACTCATAGAGATAACATAAACCCCCTGCACAGATGTAGCCCACTGCAGCTCAGTCTCCAAATGGGCTCCCTAATAAGGGGAGCAGAGGCTGTCTGTGACATGAACTCAGTGGCTGGCTCTTTGATCACCTTTCCCTAAGGAGGGGAGGCCAAAGAGGAAGACTATAAAAGACAGTGAAGACTATGAAGACTATGAAAGACTATGATGAGACCTAATAGGCTAGGGTCAGATGGAAGGGAAGGAGGTCCTCCCCTATCAGTGGACTAGGGAAGGGGCATGGGAGGAGATGAGGGATGGAGGGAGGGCAGGACTGGGAGGGAATGAGGGTGGGGCTACAGCTGGGATACAAAGTAAATAAATTGTAATAAATAAATTATATTAAAAAATAAAATAAGAAAAATGTTTTCATTTAAAATTTGGTTTCCTTATTACCTAGAAGACCTTGCTTCCTAGGCAATTATCTTAGTAGTTTAATGAGAACCAAGTGTTAGAGATGAGAATTCTTTTCTTTCTTATTTTTAAAGCTTAGAGTATTAGCTTTTCTCTTTAAATGGCTCCAAAAGTGAGTTGATCAGGAACTTTTTCAGTATTGAGTTTTGATTGATAAGAGAACTATCAAAGTAATAAAGGATGAATCTGAATATAGTCAATATAGCTTATGTCATGATCTCAAGGACACAATGCAGCTAAGAAATGGGATCCTTAAAATGCAAGTGGACAAGATTCACCTCTTCTGGAGTTTGAGATGATGAGTCCTCATTTCTTCTTATTGCTAACTTCCCCCTCACTGTCCATTTTGCAAGTGCCACCAGGATCTGTTCAAGTAAGGAGGAAGTCACATCTGCACCCACCTGAGGCTCAAAGCGAGGAGCCTGTTTTTCTTTGACTGACTTTTCTTTCTCCGCAGCCTTCTCCTTGCCTTTCCTTGATGTTTTGGAAGTTCCTACAGATTTCTGCCCTTCACTGACAGCATGGAAATCTGGGCTTCCTGTGGTAATCAATTCTTCATGTTTCTCCACATGAGCTGAAAAGACATGAAAATGGAAACGAATGAGACCTGACATGATGACAAGACCATCTCCTGTAGCGACTTGGCAAGCACTCTGGAAAGATGTTTCATCTAAAGATGGTGGATTCCTTTTCTTGTAAACAAATGTTTCATAAGAATTGGTCAAAATTCTTTTTAATGAAATGGGAACATAGTTCATATAGCATAAACTCAATGTTGGTGTAAGTAAAGCAGTGGGCTGTAGAATATTAAGATTATGCAACCACCAGATCATTATGCAACACCAAAAAAACTACTGTGTTTGCCTTCTGGATGCCTTTTATCTCATTCATAGTAGAGTTACCTTGATTTTTACCTGTGCTACACAATTCATTCATCTCTGCTCTAACCTTTACTCTTTCCTTCCTTTTGCTTTTGGATTAATGTTCTTTTCTTTTTCTAGCTTTCCAGTTTGTTCTTTTAAAAAGATATGTGTGTGATAGTGTGTGATATGTGCATATTGGTCCCCTCAGACACCAGAAGGGGGCATCAGATTTCTTGAAGCTGAGTTACAGGCAGTTGTGAATCACCATGTAGGTGCTGGGAACTGTGAACCCTTGTTCTCTGCAAGGGCAGTAAGTGCTCTTTAGCTTCTGAGCCATCTCCCTATACTCCATTCTTCAGGGTTTTTTTCTTTAGGGTTAATGTAGACAGTTATGTTAAGGCAGTGTTGCTTTTTACACACCTAGGAAATCTTCACATTCATTTCTTACTGTTTTCTAGTTTTATTCCCTTGTGATCAGAGAACATAGCTGCCTGATTTCTACCCCTGCCCAGTTATTTAGACTCACTGCATTGCTTCATCTGCTGTCATCCTCCAGATGCTCCAGGAGTGATGAGAAGAGCATGTGTCTGGGGGTGTTGAGTGGAGAATTCTTTTCATAGGGCAGGCTGTTTGCCATGTTATTCAAGCATTTTATGATATTATGATTTTTGTTTAAATTTCTTGCCACTATTTAAAGTGCGGTATCAGAAATTTCCAACTAGCTGTATAATTAGCCATTTCTTTGTTCAATACTAGTTTTGCTTCATGCATTTTAAATACTGTTAATGAGATTCAGTTCTGATGTTTATAATGGTATTGTTTTGATTTATGGTCTCTTCAGCATTATAAAGTAACTCATATACCCATTTTTTTCTTTAAAATCTATTTTTGACAATAGTATGACCATTCCAGGTTTATTTGGGCTACTATTTGTAATGTGTATTTCACCTTTTTGTCCTAAGACTGTTTATATCTTTGAAATTAAAAGATGTCCCTCTTAAGAACATGCACAGTTATATCATGTTTTGTTGTAAAGCACATTTAATTTATAGTAAACATAATCACCCAAAAGGAAGATTTATGTCAGCTATTCTGATATTTATTTTACTACATACTTCATATCCTTTTTATTGTTGTTGCTGTTGTTCCTCTAATGTTCTGATGCTACCTTCTTTTGCTTCAAAACCATACTTCCTTCTGCAGCATTTTAATTCTCTCAGGCTTCTGTTTTCTGTGCCTATTCATTTTCTTAGTGGTATCTCTGGGTATGAGTATAATTAAAATATTTTATAATAAGCTTGAATTAGTAGCAACTTAATCTCATTAATGTTCAAAGACCTTTGCTCTTATATATTTCTTTTTATCTTGATGCTTATAAAATGTAAGATTTGTCTGTATGCATGCTGTGTCCTTTAAATCTAATTGATTAATTCATAAGATGAAGCCATTATCAGGTTGCTTACTTTAGTTTGCAAAGCTTGCAAGAAATCTGCATGTCTTGGCAGCTTGTATTAGAATAAGCTGTGAAATGGAAACCATTTTACTGATTCAAGAGTTATGGAAGGTGTGATGTCATGTGAATGTGCCTGTAATTAGAAAGCTCTGGAGGAACCTGCACATCCCTTAAGGGGAGGAAGTGCTCAGAGACAACACCTGCTGATGACATGAGCTTAAGAAGCCCTTTGTGATTTTCTTTGGGTTCTTACTCTACCTGACATGACCCAGCACACAATAGAAGGTACCTTCAGTAGAGGATGAAACTTCCATGGATAGAGAAATGCAAGTATCTTTTAGGATTCAAAGTCAGTGCTTTGAGCTGTATTCTTGGAAACTGAAATATATATGTTTGTTTTGTGATATATCTTAAAATGTTTATTTTATGCAACTACAACATATAATTACATTATAAAGCATATTAATATAAAATGTATGTAATATTTTGTCCTGTCAAAGACTTTTCGACTTAAATTCACAATACTTCATTGTGTAATTCTCCCCCTTAAAAATAATCCCTTAAGATAGGAGCTCCACAAGGACCAAATTTATCTGGGCACAGGGTCTTTTCTGAGACTGACATGTAACCAAGGACCATGTATGAATGTCACCTAGAACCTCTGCTCAGATGTAGCCTGTGGTAGCTCAGTAACCAATTGGTTTCCCATAGTGAGGGGAACAAGGACTATTTCTAACAGGAACTCAATGACTGGCTCTTTGGCCTCCCCACCCCCCAAGGGAGGAGCAGTCCTGTTAGGCCACAGAGGAGAGCTTTGCAGCCAGTCCTGAAGATACCTGATAAAACAGGATCAGATGAATGGGGAGGAGGTCCCCCCTATCAGTGGACTTGGCAAGGGGCACAGTGGAGATGAGGGAGGGAGGGAGGGACTGGGAGGGAATGAGGGATCAGGACAAGGCTGGGATACAGAGTTAATAAAATGTAACTGATAAGAAAAAAATAAAATCAAAAAAAAAAAGAAAAAAATAATCCCTTAAACCAAGAGTTTTTTGATAAAGATTAAAAAATTATATTTAATAGATAAATTAGAATTTCAAAGGCTTGATTATCAACATAGAAAGCTGGCATATTGACAACAGAGTTTAGAATGACAGCATCACAGTGATGAAGGGTGGATGCCACTGACAACTCCCAGCTAGCCAGCCCTTTAGTGAATTGTAGTGAAATAAACAAAAGTGGCACTGTTGTCTTGCAATAGCCAGAAGCCATGGCGTGTATAAATAATAGCAGAAATATCCCAACTCTGTATATGTCAGCTTGGGAATTTTTTTTTGTTTTTAATTTTTTTTTTTATTTCTGGGTTGTAAGGATATAAAGTTTTGAAAAACATCAAACCATATGTTAAATTTCTCATAGAAATTAAATGCTTTAAATTAATGAAAAATAGTTTTATTGACTTCAGTATGAATATAAAATTTTAAGTCTGATCATCAGTACAGTAAGAAAATAACATGGCCAAATTCTTGTTGATAAAAATATTTATATTTTAAAATTAAGCTAAATTGATAATTAACACACCAAGAACTAAAGTTTTCTAAGCACTCAAATTCTTTAAAGAAAAAAAAAAAGCCTACAAAACATGTAAGCTTTGAGCTGTAAATAGAACTAAAACGTTGCAGTTGATATAGTGATATGCTTTAATTTAATTGAACTGGCCACCTAAAAATCCACACTTGAGTCTGTGAGAAAGCTTAGTCAGTGAATGGGGAATATTGCCAAACTTGGTTATCTGAGTTTGACCTCAAGAACCCATAGTGATGTAAGAGGAACCAACTCCCGCAGGTTGGATTTCCACACTCATAAGCTGAAGTAAGTGTGTGCATGCATGTGGGTGCACTCTGTGTGTGTGTGTGTGTGTGTATGTGTGTGTGTGTGTGTGTGGGAGAGCACACAAGTAATAAATGAATTAAATGATAATTCTAAGACTATATTTTAACACAATTAGTAATAATCTTTTATTCTGAACTCAAAGCTATTTGATTGTCAAAAAGATTTTTCAACAACTCCTCTCAAAGAGAAAATCTCCAGATTGTTTTTTAATTTAATTTATATATTTATTTATTACAATTTATTCACTTTGTATCCCTGCTCCAGTCCCCTCCCCTAGTCTCTTCCCAGTCCTACCTACCTTTCTTCTCCCTCTATGCCCTTTTCCTTGTGCCCTAATAGGGGAAGACCCCCTCCCCTTCTAGCTGACCCTAGCTTATCAGGTCTCATCAAGGCTGGTTGCATCATCTTCCTCTGTGGCCTGGCAAAGCTGTACCTCCTAGAGGGAGATAAGCAAAGAGCCACTGAATTTATGTCAGAGACAGATCCTGCACCCCTTACTAGGGAACCCACTTGGAAACTGAGCAGCCAATGGGCTTCCTTTGAACAAGGGGTCTAGGTCCTCTCTATGCATGGTCCTTACTTGGAGTATCAGTCTCCAAATTGTTTTAAATGCAGTATAATTCTTAGTTTCTTTGCTTACTGCTTTTCATCAACAAATGCTACTCGGTGCATGGAATGGCTTAATTTCAGCACTTGCTCATCATACATGAAATTGATAAATATGTTATTACACACAAAACAATACATAGTATGATTCTTTCAGGCCTATTTTAGAGTTTGAATATAGAATAATGCTGATACCATTTTTTTGAATGCTACTAGGAGCAGAGAACTCCTACAGGTTGCCTGTGCATTTGTGAGAGTCTTCCAAGACAGGAGCCCTTGAGGTCTTACAGGTGACAAGTTACTGCTGTTCAGCACAAGTCAGGACAGTTTAGCTACTGTGATACATTTTTCCATCCAAGGATAACTTTCCTTTTATAGACTTGACCCATATTGTTAACTGCTACACCCACGCCAGTGTCGCCATAGTAGCAAATACTACAGGGCGGGGGATATGCTTTCTTCGGAAATTTGCCCCCTGGAAGGTCCCTGGCAAACTCATCCCACTTGGAAAAGAGACGTATTCTGAGATTTCTACGCTTTTTCAGTTGTGGCTCTGGGGCTGGATTAATAAATTCTTTGATCTTTCTCTGTGACTCCTGAAACAGCACAACTAATTTTATAAAGAAATTTATTATTAGTAGATTATTAAAGGCTTTAATAAAAATAATATGTAAAAGGAATAAGTTTAAGAAAAGTAATGAATTAGATTTAGTATTAATAGGCGTTATAAGAATAGTGAAAAAATAATAGGCTCCTTCTTAAGAAAAAATAACATGAGAAGTACAGCTGGCACGAGTTTACCCCTCCCTTCAGCGTCTTGTTCCTAGGGAAGATCATAAATCTTTAGCAGGACATAAGGGAGGATGGTTGACAAAGGTATGTTTAGACTTTGGCAGGTATTCGACTTGGCTCGGAGGACTATTACAGCTCCTGACTTTCCTCTTCACTAGTCAGTGATAATGAAACCATAGTTTGAGGTTTTTGTTTCTTGTTTGCGTTGATCAGAAAGTTTCTAGGCAAAGATTTCTTGTGGGCACTGCCCTATGTTAAAACATAAACTTTGTATCCTTGGTAAAAGTCTGAATGTTCTGGAAAGCATGCCAGTTTTAAGGTGCTTCCTTGTGAGATCACTATAAAAATAGCAGCTTGACTTCAGTAAAGTTGCAGCAGAGTCAAAACCATCAAGATGTCTCTGTCTGTCAATTCATCGCTGAAACCGTGTCTTCCTGTCCAAAGCCTTGTTCTTCCGCAGATGCCGGGAGCCCGACTGGGCCGGTCCGTGGCAGTTAACTTCACATTTTGCTCACTATGTGTAAATTTATTTCAGGACTGTGTAATGCTTCTTTGCCCTTGATAGCCTAACATGTGTGCACACATATTTCTTCTTCTATCGTTGAGTATTATTGAAATCTCATCAGTGTTAAGAACTAAGTTTTCCCTGTTGGCAAGATTCCCATGTGATTGTAATCAGGTTGACCCCCTCCCTTCCTTCAACTGCCCCACTTCTTTCCTCTCTCCCTTCTTCTCTCCTTCCTTTGCCTTCACCTTCCCTACTACCTTCCCCTCCCCTCTCTTTCTCACACTTACATTGAACCTAGAGTCTTGCACATGCCTGGCCAATTTGCTTTGCTGACTTATGTTTCTACCCCTGATATTCTCTTTTCATAAGCTAGTGTTGGATAATAAGCTCTCTGTTATATGCTATATATTTGGAAATGATATGAACAACATTAGCATGAGTATGTTGGTTGTATCAAGACCTATGTAAAAAAATTATTATAATATAAAAACAAGACTAAAGAGACATAGGCATCTCATGGAACAAACCACACAGGCAAACAAGAAGGCTTGGATTTTATTCTTTTTTCTACTACAATTCTAAGCTTCCAGGAATATAATTTAACATATATTGGCACTATGAACTGTCCCTGAAGAACAGGAAGAAAGCACAAAGTTTTGCTGAAAACAGAAGCATACACAATATTGTACTGTTTCTCTATTATTTCTATTTATTTTGTAATTGTAAATGTTTGGTGTGCATATAAACCTTTAGCATATTTTTTAATGATTTCTTTTTAATTTTTATGTGCTTTGGTGTTTTAATTGAATGTATGTCTGTGTGAGGATGTTGGGGTCCCCTGAAACTGGAGTTACAGACAATTGTGAGCTGCTATGTGGGTGCTGGATATTGAACCAAAGTCTTCTGGAAGAGTAGCTAGTGAGACATCTCTCCTGCCACACACCATAACATATTTTTGAGACAGTGTACTATGTAACCCTGGATCACTGTACTATGGAGACCACACTGGCCTTGAACTCACAGAGATCAACCTGCTTCTGCCTGCTGAATGTTGGAATTAAATATGTGTATCTTCAGAGTCTGTCTTCATTGTTATTCTTTCCTAACAACTATGGGAAATACAATTTTATCATCATAAAAGATTTGCAAGTGTAAGTGATGCATAAGTTTTGCTAAGTAGATAAAACATGTTTATGCATGGCCTCAATGACAAAATGTTTTTAGGTTTTAAAAATTATGCACTAAAAATATTGAAACATAATTAATATAAAAATATGAGACTGTTGATTATGAGCAACAACATATTTTAATTGTGTAATCAACTTACTACTCAGTACTTAAAATAAAAGTGACATGAATACCATTTAAGGTATGGGATGGAGAAATCGCTGTTAAGAACACTGCTTCTTAACTTAACAGAACTTGCTGTGGACCAGAGTTCTGTTCCCTGCACCCTCATTGGAGACTCACAATCATGTATAACTCCTGCTTCAAGAGATACAATGCTCTCTTTAGACCTCCACAGGCACCAAGCATCCACATGGTATGCATATGTACATACAGGCAAAATACTTATACACATGAAATAAAACAAATATTTTTAAAGTATTTAGAGTGACCTACCTTTCATATCAAATTTCTCTAAGTCTTTTAGTGCTTGAACAAATGTCAGCTGAGTTTCAGTGAGAGGCCAGCTGTTAAACAGCACCAAGCACTGTATGATGTACTTGTAGCACTGTGAAAGAAAAGGCAGGGAGTCAGTGCAACCAAAAGAATCAGTATGTGTTTTGAAAGAGTTATCAGATCACGTTTATAATGTGTAATTTTATAAATCATAAAATCATAGTTTAATTAAATGATACATATTTTCAGAAACACTCCGTGGTGGCTTTAACAAGAATGACCCTCCCCCATAGGCTACTATGTTTGAATGTTTGCTCCAAAGTTGGTAGAACTATATTGGGAAGGATTAGGAGATGTGGCTTATTGGGAGGTAAGGGCTTCAAGGTTTCAAAAGCCTCTGTCAAGGCCAACTAGCAGATAAGATGTTAGCTCCCTGGAGGTTTCAAGGACACTACAAGAAGACCTACTGAGTAAAATAACCTAAAATAGCAAACTAAGGTGGACTCATGGGGGCTCACAGAGACTGGACCAACTACCAAAGAGCATGCAGAGGCTGCACCTAGATCCCTACACATATGCAGGAGATACACAGCCTTTTTAACATGTGGGTCCCCTAACAATGGGAGTAGGGGCTATCTATGACTCTGTTACCTATCTTTGGATCCCTTTGCCCTATCTGGGCTGCCTGTCAGGTCTCAATGGGAGGGGATATGTTTAGTCCTGCTGAAACTTGAGATGCCAGAGTGGGTTGCTACCCCTTGGGGGCCCTCCCCTTTTCTGAGAAGAAGGAGAGGTGAGACTGTGAGGAGAGTAGGAAGGAGGCTGGGATCAGGTTGAAAAGTGATTAAATAAATAAAATAAAAATGATGTTAGCTCCAACCCACTGCTCCAGCACCATGCTTGCTCGTCTGCTGCCATGCTCCCCACCATGATGGTCATAGCCTCACACTTTGCATCTATAAGCACCCCAGTTACATGTTCTCGGTAGTAAGTTGACTTGGTCATGGTCTTTCTTCCACAGCAGTAGAACAGTAGCGAAGACACCTTCTATCACACAGGAAAGCAGCATTTAACGTTCTCCATCCAGTTGCTGCCTCCATCATCTAACTTTCCAGTTTTTACCACTGAAATGGGCATAAAGTAAAATCCCATTTCTGTCGTATTTTGATACTTTCTTATATTATTAGGGATTTTGAGTTGTTATTCAGAGTGGTTGGCTTTTAAGGTTTTCCTTTCTTTACACTTTAATTAGGAAACTAGTCTTCTGAATCACCTTCTAGTACTTTTATACATTTAATTTTTCCACATAAATCTGCAGTGTTCCTGGAGTCCACCTTTATTTATAGTACTAGCTGTGGTGAAGGAAAAGGAAGTTCCCTAACCTCTGATAGACAGGTTACCTTTTCTCCTTTAATTGATAGTTTCGCCTCTATCTAAAAAAAAAAAAAAAAAAAGAAAAGAAAAGAAAAGAGAAAACATCAGTATTTTTTTATTTTATTTTATTTTTATTAATTACAGTTTATTCACTTTGTATTCCAGCTGTAGCCCCCTCCCCCATTCCCTCCTAACTCCACCCTCCCTCTTCTTCTCCTATGCCCCTCCCCCAGTCCAATGATCGGGGAGGTCCTCCTCCCCTTCCATCTGACCCTAATAAATCAGGTCTCATCAGGACTGGCTGCATTATCCTCCTCTGTGGCCTGGTAAGTCTGCCTCTCCCTTAGGTGGAGGTGATCAAAGAGCCAGCCCATGAGTTCATGTCAGAGATGGTCCTTGTTCCTATTATTGGGGAACCCTCTTGGACACTGAGCTGCCATGGGCTATATCTGTGCAGGGGTTCTAGGTTATCTCCATGAATGGTCCTTGTTTGGAGTATCAGTCTCATAAAAGACCCCTGTGTCCAGATTTTTTGGTTCTGTTGCTCTCCTTGTGGAGCTCCTGTTCCCTCCCGGTCTTTCTATCTCCCCCCTCTTTCATAAGATTCCCTGCACTCTGCCCAAAGTTTGGCTATGAGTCTCAGCATATATATATACCTGCTGGAAAGAGTCTTTCAGAGGCCCTCTGTGACAGGCTCCTGTCCTGTTCCCTGTTTTCTCTCCCTTCCAATGTCTGTCTTTCTGAATGAAGATTAAGCATCTTACCCAGGGTCCTCCTCCTTGATTAGCTTCCTCAGGTGTACAGATTTTAGTATGAGTATCCTATATTATATGTCTAATATCTACTTATAAGTGAATATATACCATGTGTGTCTTTCTGCTTCACCTCACTCAGGATGATCTTTTCTACATCCCACCATTTGCCTGAAAATTTCATGATTTCCTTGTTTTTAATTACTGAGTAGTATTCTATTGTGTAAATGTACCACAATTTCTATATCCATTCCTCAACTGAGGGACATCTGGGTTGTTTCCAGCTTCTGCCTATTACAAAGCTGCTACAAACATGGTTGATCAAATGTCCTTGTTGTATACTTGAGCATCTTTTGGATATATGCCCAGGAGTGGGATAGCTGGATCTTGAGGTAGCACTCAGTTGTAGCACTCCTAATTGTCTGAGAAAGTGCTGAAAGAAATGCTTAATATCAGTGTTTCTTTTTATGCTGGATACTTTTATGTCAACTTGATACAGACTAGATGTTTTTGAGAGAGGGGAACCTCAATTGAGAAAATGCCTGCATAAAATCAGGCTGGAGGCAAGCCTGTAGTGCATTTCTTAGTGATTGATGTGGGAGGAGGGCCCATTCCATTGTGGGTGGGGCCATCTCTGGGTTCTATAAGAAAGCAGATTTAGCAATCCAGCGGAAGTAAACCAGTAAGTATCAACCCTCCATGGCCTCTGCATCAGTTCCTGCCTCCAGTCTCCTGTTTTATTAGGGCAATGGTAACACTAACTAGGACGAAAGTAAGCACCAGGATGATGAGGAATTGTGGCAGACATGACCATGTTGTTTGGGGAGGACTGTAGAAAGACTTTGAAACTTCAGGCTAGAAAAGTCATATGAGTGTTGAGATCTCTAACCCTCTTTTAGAGGAGCTTGAATATAAGAATGTTTCCAGCAGTGCAGATGATGGAGGCCTGGCTTGTGAAGTGTCAGAGGCCAGCAGAGAATACTGGGGCATTTGTGTAAAGACTCTTGTCTGGTCACCTGGAGCTAAAGAATCAGTCGATTAAGAAGAGACCAGCATCACTGACTTGAAATCTTCTGGAAAATGCTTCCTCAGGATCAGCACACGAAACTGTTTTAGGGGTGACCAAAGTTGTACCTTGTGTTGGCAACTGAGGGTCTTCCAGGTAGTATGGTTTGGAAGGCATGGAAAGGTCATGGAGAACAACTGAGGCTTGTCACTGGGAGAGGTCAAAGGAGGCCACTGATAAAGGTGCAGCCTCAGTGGCATCAAAGACCCAGGATTGAAGGGATCATGCAGAGAGTTGAGGCTTGGCACCTCAAAAGAGGCTAAAAGAGGTTACTGGTCAAAGTGCAGTGCATTGTATGAGAAAACCCCAGCATTTTGGAGATGCCAGTATCACCAAATGACCATTAAGAGCAGCAGCAGCAGTGGAGTAGAGCATCTGTGAGGTTACTGGACAAGCTGTGTGTACTGCAGAGTATGAACCTGGGGAAGTGACTCAGGCCCTTTGGAAGAGTCCAGACATTGGCCATTGAGTTATCTACAGTTGGAATTTGGTTTTTGGTTTTTTTTTTTTTTTTTTTTTTTTTTTTTTTTTTTTTTTTTTTTTTTTGATTTGAATATGACTGTGCCCTGGTTCTTGGAGTCCACAGTTGAGAAATATTAAATTTGAAAAGACTTTGAATTTTAAAAGAGACTAGATGAGAGGGTTCCCTAGTAAGGGAAAGCAAGGTCTGTCTCTGACATGAGCTCAGTGGCCAGCTCTTTTATCACCTCCCCCTGTGGGGGTGCAACCTTGCCAGGCCACAGAGGAAGATGATGCAGCCAGCCCTGATGAGACCTGATAGGCTAGGGTCAGATAGAAGGGGAGGAGAACCTCCCCTATCAGTGGACTGGGGGAGGGGCATGGGAAGAGAAGCGGGAGGGAGGGTGGGATTGGGAGGAGACGAGGGAGGTGGCTACAGCTGGGATACAAAATGAATAAACTGTAATAAACAAATAAATAAATAATTTTTTTTGAAAAAGAGATGATATTTCAGAGACTGAATTTTTAAATGTTTGAATTTTTAAAGCTTATTGGACTTTTAAATTTATCTGCTTTCTAACTTTGCTCAAGTTACTTCCATTCTAACCAATATTAATTATCACTAACGTGATTGTTTAGTGCAGTGATTCTCAACATTTAGGTATTAACCCATTTGGGCCATTAATGACCCTTTCACAGGGATCACATATCACATATACTGCATATCAGATATTTATATTTTGATTCATAACAGTAGCAAAACTATAGTTGTGAAGTAGCAACAAAAATAATTTTATGTTTGGGGCTCACCACAACATGAGGAACTGTATTAAAGAGTCACAGCATCAGGAAAGTTGAGAACCATTGGTTTAGTGTATCTTAATATTTGAAAAGGGAAGTTGTCTTTACTCTTTTTTTTCAACATTGACTTATTTAGATTAAAATCCACCCTTATAACCTTTAGAGTAGCAGTAGATAATTTCTTGAAATGGCCAGGGTATTAATTTAGATCATGGTAGCATTTAGTTTCAAGGTTCACTGCAGGCTATTTGACAGATGGGAGAGGAGTTTGTTCCTAACACTGTCCTACTTTTAAACCTGACTTTAAATGATTAACTAATGTCTTTCCTTTTTTATTACTTTTTGCTTTTACAATTTATTCATTGTATATGCTGATTATAGCCCCCTCCCCCAACTTCTCCCAGTCCCACCATCCCTCCCACTTCCCCTTTATGCTTCTCCTCCTTCTCCAGGGGAGTACCTCCCCTGCTATCTGCCCCTAGCTTATCAAGTCTCATCAGGACTTCCTGCATCCTCTGTTTCTGTGGCCTGGCAAGGCCAATTGCCAGGGGGAAGTGATCAAGGAGCAGACAACTGAGTTCAAGACAGAGGCAGCCCCTGCTCTCCTTACTCCAGGACCCATATAGAGTCTGAGCTGCCAGTCGGCTACATCTGAGCAGGGGGTCTAAGTCCTCTCAATGCATGGTCCTTGGTTGTTGCATCAGTCTCTTAAGGAACCCCTGAGCCCAGATGTTTTGGTTTTGTTGGTCTCCTTGTGGAGCTCCTATCCCCACTATGTCCTTCTACCCCACACCCTTCTTCCATAAGAGTCCTTGTCCTCTGCCCAAAGTTTGGCTGAGAGTATCTGCATCTGAGTCGATCCCTTGTTGGGTGGAGCCTTTCAGAGGACATCTATGGTAGACTCCCATCCTGTTCCCTCTCTTCCACCACCTCTGGTGTCTATCCTATTTGCCATTCTGAGTGAGATTTAAACATCCTCCCTAGGGTACTCCTTGTTTAGCTTCCTTAGGTCTGTAGATTTTATTACGGTTATCCTATATTTTATGGCTAATATCCATATATACCATGTGTGTCTTTCTGGTTCTGGGTTACCTCACTCAGCATGATCTTTTCTAGTTCCATCCAATTGCCTGAAAAATGTCATGATTTCCTTGTTTTTTAATAGCTGAATAGCATTTACTCAATGGAATACTACTCAGCTAACTAATGTCTCTCTAATGTTGTGTCACCTCACTGAAAATCATTGACTACTACTCTACAGAGGAACATCCTTCCCATCCCACTGTGTTTTGTCACTTGCTGACTTTAAGCAACCTGCATTAAAATATAAGCTTTTTACTACATGGAGAACTTGCATGTGCTTGCTGAGGTCAAAGTCCAGATATTTTACAATTATGTTGCTGTTAAGAAAGACAATGCATTCTGCTGACTCATGCAGCAGCGTTAGTCCAGAGAAAAACTGTTGTTGCTGTTGCTCTAGGAGCAAAGGAGTGTGGTAGTTAAGGCAGACAGTCACAAGTGGAAACAGTATACATTCAGGTCCTGTTTTTGCATACACCTGCTGTGCCCAGGTCTCTTCCTGTTATACAGGAATAATAAGGAGTATGTGTTTAAGGGTTAACTAGAACACTGAAGATCTGTGTCATACACAGTACTGGGTACATGGAAGGTTGAGTAAATATAGATGCATTGTCTCTGGCAAGCTTGCTAAAATCTCATTATCTCAAGTTTGTGTGTTCTGTTGGATTCTTTTAGGCATATAATGAGTTTATCTACAAATAACTCAGTAGTTCTCTTACTTTGCTCTTAGTCAGCCTGATTTTCCACTATCACAATACTGGAATATAATTAAATATTATCAGTAATACTGGATTCTTTCCTTGTGCTATTTTAATAGAAATATAACAAGTTCATACTAATATAATATTTGGTACAAATTTCTAGATGAAGGCTTTTGGTATGCAAAATTTGTGTTACTTTT